AAGAAAGTCAGCGCTCTTTGTCCAGCACAGTCTCTGTTCCTCGTTGAGTATGCCAGTGTTCGATGTTGAATTGATATTGCTGTGGCTTTTGATGCCAATGTATGTACCAGTATTGCTCAGAGTGCACCATATTAATCACACTGTGCTTTACACAAGGCTGAAAATATCCAGAGTGTTTCCATACTTTATATTTCTGTCTGAAAAGTAAGAAAGAAAAGACAAATCAAACCTTTTATGGGTTTAGTTGTTGCCTTTTAACTACTTAGTAGCTGTATTTAATAGCTAGAAACCCATGGTTAAACTTGTGCTCACATGCACTTCTGGCATAGTCCTATTAAATCCATATGAAGCCAGATATGATTATGTGCAGATGTGGTGTGCTTCACTATATGGGACTGGGCCAAAGACTTTAGATGTGGTGTTTCACATGGTGACTTACATTATGAATGGATGTACTATACAAAAGTTGCTGCTCCTTATTTATTGCGGTGTGCTGCATGGAACATATTTATTTGAAAGCATTAAAATAAATGATCCAAAAGCATGTGCATAATGAGAGAACTGCATTGTCTCTGTGCTGCTGTAGAGGTTACGTTAAGGTCCAAATAACAATTACACTACGTCAGTTGTATTAAAGATGTAAGATCCGTAACAGTTTGTTTGAGTGGATGGAATGATTTTTTTTAAATGCCTATTATTTCTAGGCACTTTAACAATATTTCAAATACAGTCAACCATTGATACTTGTCATGCAAGCTAACACTAACAGTCTGACGAAGGGTTATGGTTCCTGAGTATGACACTGGTATCGCTAATAAAACGTATCAAACCCATTTTGTAGCTATGTGGTTAATCTTCTTATGCCAGCACTACTCAGCATGTTCATTACTGGTCACTGGCTAAGCACTGGGAAAATGTGACTTCCTGGAGCTGCAGAATGCTCATGCAAGTGCTATGTAAATAAATACTGTAGGGGTCTGTTAATGGTTAATAATACATTTGCATGCAACAGGTCCTGCTACAAATTTTACATATGTGCAAGAGAGCTAATCTCTGATAGTTTCTCAGTTTTACTTTTTCATAGATAGCAGCATGTAATTAGACACTTTGTGACGATGTACATGAAAATGATGAAGGTACAGAGAAAAGCCTACTTTCTGTGGCTGTACTGTATTTGGCTAGGCAGGGAAAAAGACTGCCTGGAGTGTTTGCCTTTCACCCCTATGAGGAGGTAGCAAGGCAGGATACTTCAGCAGGCTTCAAGAACTGGTCAACTTTAGCTAGCCTGCTAACCTAAGTTTCATGGCCCAAAGGGGCATGAATAAAGATTGAATGCATGGGCAGTCTCACTGGGGCAGATCTGTATTACTCAGGTTGAACGCTCTAGGTAAGAACAGTTAGTGAGCACGATGGGTGCTTTAACTGCGCAGGTAGAGTAAATCAGAACAAATTTTGTCACTTGTCTGGTAACGTGGGATAATCTGAAGTAATCTGGGACAAATATTGTCATTTTGCCATAAATTGGAAGGGTTTACTTCCAATGAAGGTACTGTATTATGGTCTCTCTCTCTCTCTCTCTCTTCCTGGGGCCCTTCTGTTGAAACTATTCCATTTTGCATAGAATAATAGCACAAAATGTAAGCATGACTCTCTGGTTGTGTGTGTTTAGGAGGACGAAGGATTTCAGTTACTGCTGCAATTCACTGCAGCATCAGTGTTTTATGGTTATCGGGGTTAGGACGGGAATCCAGACCTCCTCACTTTGGGTGAGTGCCACAACCACTGGGTGAGTGCAGGTCAGGATCATTTTTCCAATCAATGTTTTAGGTGTATAAAATGGAACAGTTTCAACAGGATGGTATGAAAGAAACCTACTCCAGAAGATCTTATTGCCTGGTAATTAGGGTATCTCCTGAGAGATGTGGGTACAAGATCTCTTAAGCAAAAGGAAGAATAGAACCTGATTTTCCCAAGCAGTTATTTTGACAACTGAGCTACTGAGTAAAGGATGGGACGCGCTTCTTCCTGTGAACTTGCCTCCATTTTTGAAAAAAGGTTTTAGGGGCACCTATACACGAGCAGCGAGGCTGTTGCAACAGAGTATTGGAGCAGACTCAATTAATCAGGTCTTCTGGAGCGTGGCAATTACCATGGTCCAGCAGACTCCAGCCTCTCGTGTATCAGCGTCCCCACACTTAAATGGCGATGGGGGTGTCAAACAAGCTTTAGTTAAAGTGACCCCAGCACCATTTTTAAGTGTGGGGACGCTGATCTGATACACAAGATGCTCCAGGCGCTTTAATTAGAGCAGCTCTCGGAGCACCCCTCCCACCCACTCCAGGAGCACATATGAACCCTAATCAGACATAGGTGCCTAAATCCCTAAGTGTGCCAGGATTTAAGGCGCACACATCTGTTTGACTTTCACTGCTAGCAGACTTAGATAGCTGACTCCTGTGAATCCCATTATAAAGTGATCCTGTCCCCCAGGCACTATGGAGGAAACCTGAACTCCTGCTATGGATGCTGGGAATTCTCCTCAACATCAGGACACCTAAAAGTTAGCACTGCAACACTGACCACTAGGGCATCTAAATGCCTCTTGTGATCTAGTGCTCCAGTGCACATGAGCTCACAAGCGCATATGCAAACTTTGAAAACAAAGGTGAGTCCTACAGAATGGCCAAATGAAATGCCAATAAATCTGCCATTGTAACCACTGTGTCAGCGTTCTCTAGTTCCCATCAAATAGGTTCAGGGTGTGCATGCCATTATGTCCAGTCGTTGATGAAAAACTGCCTCAAATACAAAAGAGGTTCTTTAAAACTGTCACTCTCCCACTGTGAACTGTAAACTCTTGGCCAATTTGCCTCTGCTTTTTTTCCATATTACCTTTCTGTTTGAAACCTAAGGGGAAAATCTCTGCACGTTTACCTTCCACGCTCCCTCTCCGTTGTGGCATTAATAGCTTGTAAAACAGTTTTAAGAGGTGCCTCAGAAGACCCTTCAGGATTTGCTGCTGTGTCAAAAGGAAAATGCCCAGCTGCCACAGACCCCTTCTCTGCTAACGTGGCAATGGGCCTAGTTCACACAGAAGATGCTGCTGATAGTCTTGTGTGTGTCCTCCCCTCCCCCAGCAAGACTGTTCTATTTTTTTCCTATTTTTCTATTTTGTAAGGTTACTAGTGCCAAGCAAAGCTCAGTACAAGCTCATCACAGGAGGGTTTCACAGAAAATGTCCAAGCATATGGTAAGTGTAGAACAAAACAAGCTAGAAAATCTAAAGCTCTGCATCTCTGTCAAAAAAGGCATTACAGTGGAAAGAAGCCAGAAGAGAGATTCGAAGCCAGCAAGCATAACATCCTTTCAGTATTCAGATGGCCTCGCAAGCAGAAGGGCTTCATGGAAGATCAAGGATGATTATGAGAGAAGTTGCCAAGAGGGATATTGAGGCTGCTATTGATTGCAGGGTGGGGGGGGGATGCAATAAAACAGCAGTAATAAGAGGATCAATTTGTGATGAGCTTTGGAGGTGGTGGAAATCAAGTTTGAAACTTGATGTGCTGAGGAAAATGGAGGGTAGCAAAGGTGTTTTACCACCTGATCCTATGCTTCGTGAAATTAGTATCAGAATTTCTTTTGAGTAATAATACAGGATCAAAGCCTTGTGGAGGAAATGGATGGCCTAAGGAATTAAATGAGCAGCAGCCGTGACAGTTATCTGGGAAGAGGTTGTTACAAGACCTTGTTAACAGCAGTTTCAGTAGAGAAGCCAGCTGGAGAGACTTCAGTAGGACATGAGAGAGGACAGTACTAGGTAGGTGCTGGAGAGTGTTGATTCAGCAGCATTCCTCATTGCACAGACCAGAAGGGAGTTTCCATGAATGAGCACTCTGGGTATCGCACTTACTGAGGACATTACAGGAGTGCGTGCAGTTTGGGCGGGGGGGTGAGAGAGAGGAACAGGGAGCGAGTTAATTTTTTTTCAGAGAATGGGTGGTCAGGAATTTCTGTGGAAGAGGAAATCCTCTCCCTTGCTAAGCTTAAGACAAACAGCCAATATTTTAGTCAGTTTTGTAGCCCCCTGTTTATATTTGGCAAGTATTGCAAGCTAACCCTGCATCTGTCAACCATGTAGCTGAAGATTTAGAAAGCCAGTGACAAATGGAAGGTCATGAAATTTATGAGATGTTATTCCTACTTCTGGATTCTTAACCACTTTTGTTAAAAAATCCCGTATAAGAAAATGGATTTTTCAACCTTCCCATTAGGTCAGAGCAAGATTGCCCAAAAACTTCAGGTTCCCAGTGAAATGTAACAAAGCAGCACAGTCCTGGCAAAGGGAGCGGGACAGAAACTTCAGCAGCAAGCAGTGTCTCTGTCGCTGTGAAGGAATAGTTTCTCATCAGGTAAGCAAGGTGCTTTAGTGACAGTAGTTAGGTACACAGTGAGCCTGCCTCATTGGGTTTTGGGGGTGGAAAGATGGCAATAAATTAAGCCTTTCTTTAGAATGTAACTGGGGCAGTTGGAATGAACTTTGCAAGTAGTTTAACTACTGTGCCACAAGGAATAGCACAAATAGTGGTTAAAAGCCCTTATTAGCACACATTTAAAATATCGCCTGTGCCTAAAAAGTAACAGGCACCTTGATAACATCCTCATGGTGAAGCATTTGCCAAGTGGCTTTATTAGAGGCTGCCCACTATTCACAGTAAGAGCTGTATACTGCCCCTTACTAAACAAGAATATTGTATATCATGTAGTTAAAAAATGCAATTTGTTCCAGTGCTGATCCTGGGTTATTTGCTATGTTTAAAGCGCCCTGGAGTG